AAAATAAATTTCCGAGAAAAAAAAAAAAAATTTAGATAATAGAATTTCTATCTCTAAAAATAAGATAAAAGAAAATAAAATAAAATTAGTATTTGAATTTTTTTCAATTTTTTTTTAAAAATTTTTTAAAAATTTACCTTTTGATTTTTTTATATGGCAAAACGCAGGTCGTGATGGGTAGCGATTTACCTTTTAACTTTTTTTTTTTTTATTTTATTGTTTGCAAAAAAAAAATATAAATATAAAATAATATATTATATTAAAAACTATTTTGATAAGATTAAATTAAATATGTATTAGTATTTTTTTTAGTGATGATGGTGATGATTTATTGTTTAAGCTTACATTATTTTATTTATATTTGCTGTTAAAACCAAAAATAATAAAGAAATAAAAAAAAAAAAAAAAAAAAAAAAAGATAAAGTGGGGTGTGTTTGAAGTTGAGGTTGATTGTGTTATGTGTTTTTTTTTTATCTCTATTTTTTCTTTTTATTACTTTGAGAAAAAAAAAAAAAATAATATACTATCGGAAAAAAAAAAAAAAAAACACAAACACAAACACAACACGCACTTTCGATAATAAATTTATTGATTATTTAATTTTATGATTGCAGGAAATTAAAAAAAAAGAAATAAAAATATCTATATATACACACAATTATATACACATATATATGTATATAGAATATAGAAGAGTGGTGTATGTATATATTTGCAAATAAAACAAAAAAACAAATTGTGAAAAAAAGATAAATAAATAAAAGAACTCTTTCTCTATAGAATTAAGATTTTTTGTAAAAATAAAAAAAAAAAAAAAAATTAAAAATAATTATTTTTTTAAAATTTTTAAGAAAAAAAACACTTTTTATTTAATTTTTATTTTTATTTTTTTTTTCTTTTTTTTTAAAAAAATGTGATTGAAAATCAAATTGTGTGGGTTAAATATGTATCACAATACATTCTTGTACGTGCTTAAGGTGTGTTTTTTTTTTTTTTAAAATTTTTTTTTTTTAAATATAAAATAAACTAAAAAAAAATGCGTTTTTTTGATTGGTGATTACTTTTTTATATATACTACAACTTTTTTTAATTCATTCATTAATTCACAAAAATAAAAACAATTCATAATTATCAATCAAATTTAATATATTTGTTATTTTTTATCTCAAATAAAGGTTTTATTTATATTATTTAACCCAAAACATGAAACACCCACTTTTTTTTTTTTTTTTTTCAATATTTTGAAAATGAAAAAATTAACAAAAAAGCGAAATTACTACCCATTTTTAAATGGTAATATTAAAAAAAACATTCGGTGTATAATCATTGCAAAAAAATTATAAATATTTATAATGAGTGATGGTGTAATATAAAACGTGTTTTTCGAATATGTGTTTGTGTAAGTGTGTGTTATTATAAACGAGAATGTTTTTTTTTTTTTTATTTGTTGTTATTTTTTTTTAGATACTAAAGAATTTTTCACAATAAAATAATCTAAAATAAAGAAAAAATTTTATTGGTCATAATAACTCCTCATCCAAACCATAACTTTATAATGCATTTTTTTTTTCTTTTTGTTTTAATAATTTAAATCATCATATAAAATTTGAAAAATGGGTGAGGTATTGTAGCGTATGGATATTTTAGTGTTTTCGGTAAAAAAATTTATTGGGCATTTAACCAAAATTATCTCACCCAATCTAAATTTTACACAAATGCGTCTTTTTACGAATGAAGCAGTTAAAAAAAAAAATTTCAAAAAAATTAAATTAAGATATTTTTTTTTTTATGTGAGCGATAGACACAATATTGTTATTGCGGTTGGGTGGGTGTTTTGATTATAATTTGAGTTTTTGGCTAAGTTGGTCCTTGGGACAATCACTAACACACAAACAAATTATGATTTTTATTTTGCTTGTCGAAAAAAAACCCTTTTTTTTTTTAATTTTTTTTTTTCCCGCCCAAAAGAGCAATGATTTTTATTTTTTTTAAATTTTTTTTGAATGATTAATCATTCAAAATTTTTTCTTTTTTTTTTTTTTTTTTACTTTCTTACCCTTTTCAACCCTTGATATTTCAAATATATGTTTTATCCAATAAAAAATAATTAAAAAAAAAAAACCGATTTTCTTAATAAACAATTTTTTTTCTTTTTTTTTTAAATCATAACACCACGCTCTAATTGTGGCTCATTATTTTTTTTTTTTTTTTAAAATACTGAGTGCTCTGAAGAGATGTAAAGATGAAAAAACATTAGACAAGACGCTCCCCAATAATTTTTACATTTTTTTTTATTTTTTTTTTCTTTTCTTTTTTTTTCTTTTCTTTTTTTTTCTAATTTTAATGACAAAGCAGCGTTAGTATCTAAAGTTTTCTTATAGTTTCTCTGATTTAAATTACGGTGAATGTTAATATGAAAAAAAAAAAAATTTGTGTATAATCAAATAAGGTGTCTTTATTTTTTTTTTTTTGTCCAATCAATCGCTTTTATTTTAAAGAAATTATGATAATTAAAAAATTATCGTCATAATACTAAAAAAAATTGTATAGGTGGTTGAATTAAATTTTTTATATGCTTTAAAGGTGGAGGGTGGATTTTTATTTTTAAAATTGGTGGTGAATAAAAAAAAAAAAAAAAAAATGGTAAAGAGAAATAAAGTGATAGTATTAAGTTTGTATTATGAAGTAACTCCTATAGTATTGAGTTTCTTTTATTTTTTATTTTTTTAGTTATTTATAAAATTTATTGAAAGTTTATTGTTTTCTAAAAGAGTTGGTGATGGACAACATGAGTTATTTTTGCAAAGACCGCTATGGTTATCGTTACTAGGAGTTTTGTTATCTTGATCACTATTGTTGTTGTTGTTGTTGTTGGTTTTGTTATAAGTTTTATTATGGTTTCTATAATCTGAAATATTGATTTTATATACAGTGCTATCAAATGTGCTAATTTGGTAACTATTGTTGTTGATGTTAATGGATTTGATTTTTCTTTTGTTATCATTAAAGTCAAATGAAATTAAGCTTTCATTTAAATTGATCTTATCTACATTGTTGTCTATTTCACTAATATTTAAATTATTATCTAATAATGATTTCTTATCGATTGCTTTGTTATTTAAAAATACATGGGTTTCTCTTAAACTGTGTCTCTTTGATTTAAACCAAATTTGGATTTTATCTTCAGGAACACCATAGTTAAAAGCAAAATATTCTATGTTTTCGTTTGATGGGAACGGAGAGTTGTAGAAGAAATAGTTCAGCTCTTTGGTGGTTTTTGTAAATTTCTTGATACATTTCTCTTTATATTCTAAATTATTTGCCTTTTTTAAACTCTCTCTTTTATGTTTGAACCATGTAATGATTTGATCTACAGACATATCAAGTTGGTAAGCAATAATCTCTTTTTCAATGGCATCTGGAAATGGATTCTTTTTAAAGCAAAGTTCTAATTCTTCTTTGTGCTCTCTAGTTTTTTTTGATCTAGTTTTTTTAACTTTATTTAAATGGACAAATACAAAATCTTTATTATCATCTGATTCATTGCTATTATTACTATTAATATTATTATTGTTTTTATTATTTTTATCATTTATAGTAATATTATTTTTTTTATATTCATTGTTATTATTGTTGTTATTAATATTGTTTAATTCAATATTTTGTAATAAATTTAAATTATAACTATTTGAAAAATAACTCTCATTAGTATTAAGACTATTATTTTCTATGTGATTGTAATTTTTATTTGATTGTAAATGATTATATGGATGGTAATGGTGGCGATTGTGAAAGCTATGGTGATTAAAACATATATTTATTTGGAAGAGGTCCATTATTTATTGGTTTATTATT